TCAAAAACCGAATTCGCTCTCTCATTGTATGTATGGGTACATTTTTTTCTCACAATAATTTCAAAAACGTGAGGTCTATAATACACGTCAATCTAAAATACTCTACCTTAATAAAAAAAAATTCAAGACGACATCCATTAGGCTAATTTGCCGTGACTGCGACCCCGCTGACTACTATATATATATTATAATATGTAATACCCATAATATATATATATAAATATGGTCTACCGTCTACACAGGAAAACTATCGCTTACTGTAGTACATATTATACTCCCCGAACTACCGCGACTTAACCGTATATATTTTATCGACTGCAATAGTTATATCATGCATGCGAATGTATAATATAAATAATAAATATATGATATAAAAATATTAATATGTGGCCCTCGACACACCAGTAACTTTATGTATAACCCACTACATCGAACAGTCAAACCTGCACGTTTAATCGTAATGGAAAGTATAAAAAACCACCCCTATTAAATCTCTTATTATAATATTAGAATTATTTAAACGACAAAAACTTACTCAGCAGCTATAGAAACTATAGAACCTAATATATTCGTAAGGTAGCTGAAACGATAAAAATAATGCTAATAAATACAATTTAAAAAGTTTTATTTAATAGATATTGATAAATCATATCAAACAAAATTATGCGTTGTTAATGTATATTTTTAGTTTATTTTTTATTATTATTTTATACAGCAACTACTACATAAACGATATAACATAAATTAAGTACAATATTTATAGGGTGTTTAATATTGATATGAAATCCTATAAACGTTATTCATATACTTTCGTGAAACAAAACGGATTAAAATTTATTGCACAACGAAGTGTTTAAAGTAGGTTATTTTCCGGGACTTATTTTTTTAAATATTTAAAACCATATTTAGTCGTTACGCGTTTGAAAACTATTTCTGAAGGGGTTGTTTAATATTCAACGTTCGTAACACGAATATTTCTGCACGAAAGTAATTAATCAGACATCAATTAATAAATAAAAATAATGTTTTAACATTTTAACATAATATATTAGTATAATAATATTATATAATACGGCAGGTACACGTAATTGTCGTGAACATAACGTGTTTTTTAATCCCGAGACTATTTCACCAAAAGAAATCTCTTGAAGACGTTCATTATTCACGACTTAAAACAACTATTATACTAAACATTTTTATGCTTCACTCTTTTGTCTCGCCATTTTTCCCGCCCGCGCTTATTATTATTTGTTCTACGTCGCGTTCTTTATTATTCGTTTGTATTCTCGCGATGGAGTTCACAATGGGTTTACTTTCAGTGCAATGAACACGGACAGCGGAAGATTCCTTTTAAGTCTAATTATACGAATTTATGTCGAACGTTTATATAGATTTGTTCGCACGTCATTTTTATTTCGAGCGTCTGTAAAATTTCTATACGGATCAGACGATAAAAAACGTCGTCGGAGTGCTTAAGTTTTTCGAAACCTTTGGAAATTCTATTTCGACGAGTGCCTTTGCATGGCACCGTCAAACTTGGGCAAACACAAAACGTATCGTTTGACACGTAAAGTTATTGTGATATAATAAACCATAAAATATCATAATATATGATACTCAAGACGGCGATGGCCTTCTGATGTAGGTCTCAAAGCTCTACATAAAAATAAGCGAGAAACTAAATTTTCGTCTTCGAGTACTCCGTGTTATTTACCCGTTGCCGTTACTCACCAAATAATTAAAAATTTCATAATACTGCTCAAACGTGTCACATATGGCCAGGTGATCGTTAAATTTAATTACGTTTTATTTAGGCTATACCTAATGAAATCGTTGTACCTAGACGGTATTATTTAATTTTGCAGTGCGAATAACAAACTGCAGATTCCAAGCCGCGTTGTAGGACTGTGTGATTTCCGAGTATTGATTTCATTGGCACGCAAATCACGATTTATAGTTTTTTTGAATCTCCTGATCAGTATATTAAGCTGTATACCATAATTATTATTACTCCGCCTTCTACAGCGAACGCGGCCCATACACCAGACATTATAGAATCTAATTCTACTCAAGACGCGTAATACGTTAAACCGTTTACCCCGCGTTATTATCGTCCATCAATACTCGAGTCACTTGAGACTGTACCTACTCGAAAAATTCCCATAAATTTAATAATGTCGTTTCTGCGCGAAATCGAAATGCACGTTATCACCGCGGTGCAGTGTGCAAAAGTCGAGCGTAAACGGCATCGTAGACGCACGACCGCTCGTCACCCGCGCTACATATTATTATTATTATTATTATTACATATAGGTACCACCCGTGTTTGTCGCCCGGTATCCGGTCAGCGGTTATCGCGCGGTTATCACCGCCGTATAGATAATAATATAATCGTATATGCTACAGAACGTTTGTCTTTCTGCTTGCAGAGTATGCGGGAACCGTTAAGAGCGAATACCAGACGGCCGCGGACGCGCAGTCGGCGGTCGCCGCCATGCCGTCCGCGCGCGAACACCACCATCAGCAGCAGCAGCAACAGCAGCCGCCGCCGCCGCCGACGCCGGCCACTGCGACGCCGGTGCTCACCGTGCTCCAGTACCAGCGGCCGCGGACGTACACCAGCACGGGCGTGGCCCTGTCGCTGCCGCCCAAGAAGAAGGACATCTACCGGCCGTATTCGCTGGACGACCACAAGCCCATAAAGTGGCCGCGGCCCGAGGAGGACATCAGCGCCGCGCAGGCCATACTCGACCTGAGCGCGTCCACGCCGGTGGTCGTCTGCCGGCCACAGCCTCAACAACTGCAATCGGCGCTGCCGCCGCCGCCGCCGGCCATTCAACTACAACAGCCGACGGTGCAGCCGCCGCCGCCGCCACCGCCGCCGCCGTCGTCCGCGTCTCAGCAACAACCACAACAACAACAGCAACAGCAACAGCAACAACTGGTGCAAGTCGTACCGGCGGCCGCAGCCGCCTCTGCCGCCGTCAAACAACAACCGACCGAACAACAACAACTGCAGCAACTGCGCCCGCCGCCGCCGGCCATACCGCTGTCGACCGTGACGGCCGCGACCACGAGCAAAACGGTGGCGTACACGTACGAAGCGTTTTTCGTCAGCGACGGCCGGTCGAAGCGCAAGTCTTCGGCGGCCGCCGCGGTGGCCGCCGCCGCG